ACAACTTGACCTTGATGAATTAAGCATTTGGTGTTCGAATAACCTACTTTTCTTGAAAAATTCTAAGTGCAAACTTATGACTTTTCACCGTCGTGCACCACATTTTGTCTCCTATTCTCTAGGACACTATGTCTGGATCGAATCTCCACATCAAATGACTTAGGAGTCCTTTTCGATCACAAGCTATGTTTTAGTAGCCATATTGCTTCTATTCAGTCCAACAGTCCCACTGTCAGTCCCTCTCTGACTCGGCTATTGATGCTGATCAAGAATATATATACTTTGTGGGGTCGGAAACGTTTCCTTCTCTGCGTTACACACATCCACTTTGTGCACATATACAATATACCCTATTTACTCTTCGAGTACCGGGTATAAAACAAATTAACGCGCCATCTGACATTGACTTAACCAATTTTATTCAGAGGGCCTGCGTACCACCATTAAAAACATCCCCAGACCGTTATACATCTACCGGCATGTTTTACGGTTTGCTTCATATGATTTCCTTGAAGCCTTTTTTCGGGTTTACGCCAATAATATTCCTTCCCATATGATTAAATATGAATACATTTGGACTCATCAGACCTGATAACACATTTCCAATCATACGTGGTCAAATTGTTATGCTAATTTGAAAAGTTTCGGGTTTGCTCTAAGATTTTTTTCCGACAACGTGAAACATGCCGGTAGATTAATAATCATCTGGGGATATTTTAAATGGGTGTACGATGGCCCTCTACAACAAAATTGATAGTATTATGCGAAAAAAATCATCTTTTAGTCTTAGAAAGTTCTTGTTCCTAAATTGCGATATTATAAGTCTAGCGTCTGGTTCTTTTAGAGTCCTTGGACTTGGTGTTTCGGGACAAAATTTCGAATTTTTTCACTCTGATCACCACCGATTGCCGAAAGCCAAGTTTTTAAGCATTATTAGACTTCGCATAGACATTTTCAGTAAGCTACACAATAATATTTTAAATTTCTAGATACACATATCTATTTATTAAATTCATAAATCTGCTTCGATTATTATGAGAAATATCTTATATTATTGTTAGTTTTACCAGAATAAAAAAATATATATTAACGGCAAATCTGTAAGCATGCTGTTTATAAGAAAATTTAGATATATAAAATAAGTGGAAAGTCATTGAGTTAATGAGAGTTTTTTATTTTTCTTAACATTTGTATTTTTCTGGTATTGCCTATTTTTTAAGGATAAAGTAATTGATATAGACATTTCTCATTTCCGGGTTTTATGCAATAATTATAATTACTTGTACCATTTAATATCCCCCGAATTTTTCCTTGAAAAAATTATATCTAACATTTATCATTACCTTAGTTTAGAAAATGTGTAAATTGTATCTTTCCTTTCTCTGTTGTACATATATAATTGGTTTATTTTTATTCCTATTCCATAATTAGCAGATAATTGTTAATTTAAGTAAATAAATATATACACAAACATTGGTTAAGTTAGTTATTGGGAGTGTCTCCAGTGCTCCCCACTGTATACTGGGTATACTGCTTGTGACGCGTACGAAGCGTTTCACAAACGTCCCTACACGTTAAAAAAGGTTTTGGAATATTGAAGTATGAGGAAGTGATCTACACCTCTAAGTCTAAAACCTAATTTTCTTCTCGTGCAAAGTACTTTCAAAAGTTGCCCAATTGTAGCACAGTGTAATTGTTCCTAATCAGTCTTCAAAATAAATACGTGCCCATGTTCCAGCCAATAAGTTGGTCCTTCTTTCAAGTATTGCCCAACTTAACCTTCACTTAAGAACCTTAGATTCGTGTAAACAAATCGCCAATTTCCATCGGCTCAACCAAAAAGATTCACTGCAGAAAAATAGCCAGCAACTACCTGCCACAACTTTCACCAGGCAAGAGGCAGTATTCAGTCTCTCGCCTCGCGTTAATCCGCACTAATCCATCAGCTACACAGAGACAAAAGTGCAGCACAAAATTAGACAGACATAATGTTAGCAGCCTGATTTTTCCCGGCAACTGCATCAATGTCAAAATATTTCCCTCTTTACCGTAGCTGCTCGCCGTGAAACGTGTGCTGGCACAACAGTTGCCCATTTGCATGCCGTATCCGATTTACAAAATAAAAAGATTTTCTGAGTCGAACGAGAACAATCTGATTTATGAACTGCAGAATTTCACTTTCAGTGCAGTTCTGCATTGACCCGCAGGGCCTCTGCCAGCCTGCCTGCCTGTCCATCAAAAAAGGGATCCAGTGCCATCCTATTTAGAGTTTTTATTCTTTTGTGATGTGTTGTGTAGTCTTGCCTTTACGCCTTCACTCGTAAATCACTCAAACGCTAAGTCGGCTGACCGACCGCCTTGACACTTTCCCGTCAAGGCAATGAGCCCAATCTTTGTGCAGAGATTTCCTGTGCCTGCTACCGAAGTGAAAGTAATGTTGATATGACCCTTGGACTTTGGCCATGACTAATTTAAAGGGAATTGTATTGTGGCGTTTTGTTATTTTGGAAGGTAATTAGAATCTTTTTGGTGGAGGGTTTTGTTGGGTAAAAATTCGTAAGAGTTTGCGGATTAAAAATAATTCTAGTAGTTGGTCCCTTAGTCATCTTAGTCATATCCTTAGACTACAAGAATTTCGGACTATCTCAGATCGAAACTGTGTTAAAAATTAAAGTACATTTTGAAATGAACTCCACATCCTAAATATCTCTATAAATTGTTCCACTTATTCCACTCAAACAGAATTTCCGGTAAATATTTTCCATCATCAAACCCAAGCTTTCCCTTGCATTTTCCACCCACCTTGCACCTGTTGTTAGATATCTGCTGCCGTTGACAATACTGCTGTTCCGTGCATGTTTTTCCTGTCTGTTTGTTTGGCTTTATTTTTTGCGTGTGTCTTAAATATTTTTGACAAAAATTTGCCGGCGGTTAATTTTAATTGGATTCTGACAAAACACAGAACCGAAACAACAAAAATCAACAAAAAAAAAAATCCTTTTAATAAAATTAAATATCAAACATGGCGGTGGCGATGGCTCGATGGCTTGGTGGATGATATTTTTGTCGTATTACCGCTGACAGGAGCAGGATTTAAATTAAAAACCCGCCAAGTCCATGGGCCAAGATCAAAAGGCTTCAAAAATTTGTATTTGCCAAGAGGCAGAGAGGTGGAAGGACGCACAACCCCCCAACGCACAAACCGAAAACAGCCAAAAAACTTTAACATCGGCGGCGGCGAAACGGAAACGGAAATCGACTCGCAAAAGGTTGCAGGTGTCATGTGACAAGGTCGAGGGGTAGCAGTGGGTGATGCCGGGGCATGCCACGCGCACAAATTTGCGCGCAGATCCACGAGGAATAGGACGGGCGTAGGACTTTCCTGTGCCAATTGATTAACGCGAATCGTGTGCCTCCCCACACAAAGGAAATATACAAAAAGAAGAAGAAACAAAGTCAAATGAAAGTGCTGAAGCGGTTAAGATGCTGTAAAGGGCTAAGGGTTGGTCTGCTCCTGCAGGTAAAACGGGATTAATTTGTTGCGTCTCGCAGGCATATGGCGCCGCTCTCGCTCTCTGATTCTCCCTTTCTTTGCGAAATCCAAATAATTAGTCCCCAAGGCCAAAAAAAACAGAAATCATTAAAAAAGTTCAACGAGTTGTCTGGCCTTATTTAAAAGACAAGTAAAGAGAAGATCTAGAGGGGTTGAGTAAGCGAAAGAGACAGCGAAAGAAAAAATTGAGTCGAAAAGCCAGAAGCTGCTGCACGTGGGTTGCCATCGGTTGTCGGGTGGCAAGTGTCTGGATAGAATGGAGTTTGAGTGGGCTCCACATTGCACCAGTTACGAGAGGTGGCGTGGTTATTATTTTATAATGGGAGATTTTTGGCGATTGAAGACATAGAGAAGAAGAGAGAAAGAAGCTGTTGGTTAACGTGCTGAAAAGAAAACCCAACAGATCGATAGAAGGAAAGAATTAGTACATATGTATATGTATATATGTATGGGTAAGCGTCGGTTAGAGAACTTAGAAAAAGAGAAGAAGCGATAAAAAAAAACGGTGTTGTTAGGCGTCATTTAGTGTTGTATATAAGTAATAATAGCACCAATTAGCGTCAGTCAAAGGGATGTTTAAAAGAACATCTAGGAGAAGAGTTTTGAAGCTAGTCAGTGAGAAATAAAAATACTAGTGTTGGACATATGTCTGTGTTAACGAGAACAAAAGAATAAATCCAAAGAAGATGGAAGGCACACTACTTACGAGAAATAAGAATTGAGAAAATATAAAACAATTGAACAGCAGTGCTGGTCAATGTTTAACCAAAATTATTGGTAAACATCATTCCCAGACTGGAGTATCCTTCTGTTTTTTATGTAAAGTAGGGTAGGGGGATTTATATTACAAGTACTCGTATTCCTTTATAGTTTTTGGGTACGAGGTCGTCTTGAGGGTTGGCATAAGAGAACTATTAAAGTGTTTTATGGTGCTCGAGACAAGGCGAGCCGAACGAGCGAACGTAGTAGCGAAGGGCTGGGTCTGTGTAGAAATAAATGGCAACAGCGAGACGATGCGCTGGCCCCACCAATTGAGGTAGAGGTTAAGTAAGATTTAGAGGTTTTCCTGAGGAATTCCACCTCCTTTTAATTTTTCGGTGGTTTTCCTTGTGTTTTTTTTTATCTCTTACAGTCAGCAAAACTGAAGACTGAGGGACGACTAGCTGCAATTTGAGATACAAATTCTTGTGTCTGTGGCTGCTTATGAAAACCAAACTTTTGATGAGGATTCGGTGGGCCAGCGAATGCCAGGAAGGTGTGTGGGGGGGAGAGGGGTGGCGAACGAGAACACAAAAATGATTAAAATTCTTTTGGAATGCGAAATAAATCCACAACTGTTCTTGGCGTATGTTCATCAACAAAACAACATCTGTTTTTCCACCTATAAATGTATGACCAAAGCAGCCAGTTTCCATCTCAAAAATTCAATAACTCAGAGACACTTCAACAGAAACCAAGTAGATCATGAGAAAGCTTTTAATGTTCGTGGAAACTCTCATAATATTAAGCCCATCGCAAGGCCGAACTGGCAAGAACTGGCGGCTGGCCATGTACGATGCCTGTTTGGAACCTTTGCCCAATAAAAACCCAGATATATGGCGCGTAAGCATTCAAAAATGTATATATTAAATTCAATTCAATTTTAAAACAATTGTACAACATGTAAACTGTATAGCTACCAAAACACTGGCATCGTCAGTTTACCTATCCACCGATCTACATGAATGCCGTGTGTCCAGCCAAAGATAATTATGTCTATTTGTCGCTGAACAATTTGGTTAACACGCCTATGAATTATTTTCCTCTGCTGCCAGTGCCATTTTTACTCTGTTCGGACTACATTCATTATGCGGTTTTAGTGTTTTGTTGTGCGGAGCAAAAGGAAAAGGACATTCGAGTGTTTTGTGAGTGATTTTAGATGAACATATTTCTGGATTTTATGGACTCTTTATTGCCTATTTAGATAATCAATCCATGGTCCTGACGGTGGAGAGCAATCCAATCGATGCAATTGTCAACAAAACCAAAAAGTGTCTTGGGGACTTTACCCAGTTTAAGTTCTATCCAAATATGACTAAAGTAAGATTTTTGGAGTGCTAGAAAATATAATTTTATTTTTTATAGTAAACCACTTCTTGGAGTGTATTTTTCGTTGCCTTTTTATATCCGGTACTCGAAGAGTAAATAGGGTGTATTTGTGGGGAAAATTGGATGTATGTAACGCACAGAAGAAAATGTTTTCGACCCCATAAGGTATATATATTCTTAGTCTTAGTCTGTCTGTCCGTCCGTCTGTCCGTCCTTAAGTACTCAGAGACAGTAGGCTCACAGTGTTACAAGTGTATTTAATTTTGAATTCCACAATTTTGAAGATAAAAGAAAACTAAAAACGCTATTCTGTAGGAAATGACCATATCTACCAGATCACCAATTGGGATCCGATTGGATCAGTATTATAGCCAGAATGAAGAAATTAATTTGCAGTGGCCAAACCCACCCCGTCCCGCAGCTTTTGTTGTTTTTGTACATTCTCTCATTCACACTCTGCTTCGTGTAGTGTGTGGCTCTAGGGAAGGTTCGAGCTAAAAGAGCTTGTTGTCGTGAGAAGTGATGTAGATGGTGATAAAAGATGTAAAAAATATGTAAAATGTAAAATTTGAAAAGTTACCGTTAAGGTTTACTACTGAGTAACGGGTATAAAAGTTGCGACGCGTATGAAAGCTTCCCACACGTCCCTTCTCGTCTTTTACTCTTGTGATTTTAAATAATTCATTGTACATCACAATAATTTACCAGGATCTTTATTACCAGAAAAGGAATCGCCCATTTCGTTTTGGGGAGATTTCCGCTTAAAGTCTTTTTTCTCTCCTTTTTTGGGGTTTCCTCGGCTGCTGTTTCCTAAACATTTAGCAACGGAATCTAGGTGAGTACAGAAATGAAAGAGTTGCTTTTACCTCAAACTGTGTAGCTGTAGCTCACTGTAGTAGCAGCGAGGAGCAGCGATACCCATGAGCCAGGGAGCCAGGAGCCAGCGAACCGCATTGAAAAATACCTTCAGAGCTCAATAATTTAACGGATTTGGGAGGGAGTCGGGGCCGGGAAGCCCAGAGGCAAGTAGCAGGACCTCTCCAAAATGAGAACATTTTTGGGAAAACATTAACATTAGCCTAAAATATTGTCCCATAATTTGCCGCGAGCGGCAGCACAGTTGATGGTGACAATTCCACATGGTTTGGTGGGGGAGGCAAAAGCGCGCAAGGACGGTGAAATATTTGCCAGAGGCAGCAAATGAAGCCACTTGCTGGCAACACTGGAAAGTAAGAGAGGGGAGAGGGGAAGAGCGAGTGGATGGGTCTTTTGGGTGGATGTTTTTTGGCGACGATTTTAAAATGCCAAACAGCGGCAAGTATAAACGGGCGTTTATCAAACGAAACGACAAGAACGATTTGAAGGAAGGAACTGCCACAGCAGCGGAGTTGCAGTGTGGCAGGAATGGCATCAACCCCCGAAGCACATTTCCAGTGTGCCCATCACTCAAGTCACAAAATTAGGCAATTAAAAATATGCCGAAGGCGCTGTTCGTTCGCAAGAGAATGGTCCCTCTGTCACACAAAAGAAGGAGGAGAAGGAGGAAGGGGAGAAGCAGGAGCTGGTGCAGTAGCAGCAGATAGACATTAGAGATAGGTTAGTGAGGGGTTGAGAGGCAGAAGGCTGTAAGGTTTTTCGCACGAACGGAATGGGCATTGCCTTAGCATATGCATCATCGGCTCAAGGATGTGGTGTGGGAGGTGGTGGTGTGGGGAATGAGTTGGTTGCCCTGCATATGATGCCAGCCCATCAGAAAGGAGAGTCTCTTGGCAGACGAAAATTACCAAGAAATTGTGTGGTCTACCGCGTGAGACAGCTGTGGTGAGTGGTTAGGAAAAGGAAAGGGAAGTTTTTGTGGGAAGATTTTGCAAGGGAATGGTGGAGGGGATAAAAAGCCGAATACAGGGATATATAATTGCAGAATTTTTGGAAAAGAATTGATTTCTTTTTATATAAATCATAATCCTCAATGTGCGATCATATCTAAAGCGTAATGCTACTCCTAGATCAAAGAAAAAAAGAACATAATCCCACTCTGCCACATCTCTCCGCCTTCAATCAATATCAGAAATCTTGCTACATCTAATACATCCCTTCGCCTTTAATCAAGTCTACAAATTTTGCCTAAAATAATCCGTTACATCAAACTTTTACCCCCTAGATAATCAAATTTAAGCTCGGGTCTCCCAGTTCTCTCATCTAATATGAAATTGGTATTGAAAATACGACAAGGCATGGAAACTTTGTTATTGAAGCATTTCCAAGTATTTCATTTTTCTATATATTTCGTGCTGCATCAAGGAGAGACGTCAAACACATCTTGCGTTGAATGCCATCAGGGCCAAAAAGCGTCAACAGAATGGCCCATAGAAAATAATGGGGTTTACTTGGGGGCCACACCCACATTTTCTCAAACCACTTCCTTGGACCCTGTGTCTGCTTGCCATTCCTTCTCAGCAATCCTTTTTGTTGGCCAAGAAGACGATTCTAAATTTTCGGCTGCTCCTTCAGAGCAGGCGCTGGCTCTGGGCGCTCTGTTTTTCTGGGTTCTGGTTCTCGTTTTGGTTTTTGGTCTGCACTCGTCAATAAATCGTTGAGTGCCAGTAATGATGCCAGGCTCTTGGCACAGCTCTGGGCATATCCCTCCACTCCGCGATAGCAGCCGTTAATGTCAGACGAGCGAAAATATATGGGGCCAAAATGTTGGGAAGACCCACCCCCCCC